CCAGCGTGGGCCGGCTGTGTGGCCTTCCGGTGTGGGCTGGCTGTGGGGGTCCCAGCGTGGGCCGGCTGTGTGGCCTTCCGGTGTGGGCTGGCTGTATGGGTCCCAGCGTGGGCCGGCCGTGTGGCCTTCCAGTGTGGGCCGGCTGTGTGGTCTCCCGGCGTGGGAAAGAAGAAATGCCTCTGTCGTTTGTAGAGAGCCCAGGAGCAGAGGGAGGGAGAATTTTTCCATATTCCAAAAATCAATATACAGGTCAAGGTATGATATAAATAGAGCAGTTGTCAGTTATGCGCATGCGGAATTATGCAACCTAAACTATCCGAATAAGGTAGTTGGGGTATTCACTTCCTCTTCCCCTTTCTCCTGTGTGTGTTTTAATACTAGTTTGAACTAAATACAATTAGAAAAATAAACTATCAGAAAAAAAAAACTGCAGTGTGCATTTCAATGCCAGTGCAAATTCCCTATGATCTGCAGTACTGTTTTTCCTCCCCACTTCCCAGTTTCCATTAACAAGGCTGCTCCTTGTGGTTAGGTGGGTGCCTCAACCTTCACCTGGTTGAGGTCAAGGTGGCATGGTCGCCTGTGATGCGGGGGCGCATGGATTTGCATGTTAATCCACATGCTAGCCTAATAAGTGCAACTACTGGGGGATAAAGGTGTCTCCTGCTTCACAAGGTCACAGAACACTTCTATTAATACTTTTGGGTCCCTTCTGCTTCCACCCTGCCTGCGTGCCCATGTTGGAAAATACCTTGGAGTGCCCAGTGTGTCCGCGGAGAGGCAGGCGAGCAGCCATTTTCTCCAGATTCCCTTATTTAGTGTTGGAGATGGTTTTAAATAGGCAGGTGGTTGTTGCCATGGTTACCCCATTACACCAGCTGCTAAACTTAGGAAGGGCCACAAGGGATAGGAAGAAAGCTTGATACCCAGGATTTGGAAATGTAAACGTTGTTATCAAACAAGGCTTCGTCTTACTCGGCTGACTTAGGTTCTCTAGAGAGAAGCCACACTTGGCTGGAAGCCCTTAGCATTAATGCCGGGACTGGGCCCACAGGCTTGGCCCTGAGGTTACATCTAGGGAGTTGTCATTGTTTTGTTTTGTTTTCAGCGAGGGGGTGTGACTAGCAAGGGCTAATGTATCAAGAAGCTTGAATCCTTTGAAGTGCTCATTCAGTTGTCTGTGCTATTCTAACTAGAATTCTTCTTTTCTCATTGTGGTAAATATATAGGTAACAAATCGTCTGCCATTTCAACATTCTTCACACGTACAATTCAGTGACATTAAACCCATTGCCATCAAGTCTATTCCAACTCTTAGCGACCCTGTAGGACAAAGTAAAACTGTCCCATAGGGTTTCCAGGGAGCAGCTGGTGGATTCGAACTGCTGACCTTTTGGTTAGTAGCCAAGCTCTTAAACCCTGCGCCACCAGGGCTCCAAAGAAACCAAACCCATTGCCATTGAGTTGATTCCAACTCATAGCGATCCTATAAGACAGAGTAGAACTGTCCCATAGGGTTTCCAAGGAGCAGCTGGTGGACTGGAACTGCTGACCTTTTGGTTAGCAGCCAAGCTCTTAACCACTGCGCCACCAGGGCTCCTTCAGTGACATTAGTTATGTTTATCACGTTGTTCAGCCATCACCATTATCCCTTTCCAGATGTTCCCATCACCTTTAAGAAGCTCAGTATCCCCTAACCAATGAGTTCCCCCTTTTTCCCTCCTTCCCATCTGCCCCTGAAAATCACTAATAAACTCTGGTCTCTATCCACTTGCCTATCCTAGATATCTCATCTAAGTGGAATCATACGATATTTGTCCCTCTGTGACTGACTTATTTCACTCACCATAATGTTTTCAAAATTCATCCATATTGTAGCATATATCAGCCCTTCATTTTCTAACAAGAATTCTTCACCTGGGGTCCAAGGGCATCACAGACTCTGAGAACACCTCAAAATTTTATGTGAAATATTGAACGTATTTTTCTGAGGAGACTGTCCATGACTCTCAGAAAGTCCTTAGAGGAACCCATAACCCCCGAATGGTTGAAAGTTCACAGTTCTGAGGTCCCTTTGAATCCTAAGAGGCATCAAGTTATGATTCTACTCTACTGTTCAGGCTTCAGGAAATTCTTCCCCAGTGGCTTCTCTACACAGGTTGTTGCCAGGGAAGGTGGCTGGTTACACAAAACAAAATTATGTTCCCTGATGGAATAGCTTTGTTAACGGACAAGAACCAGACCCTGGGATGCAGGAAGATGTGCCAAGTATGATGGAC